CCTATGCGAAGAAAAACTGTGTAAAGGGAGAGTAGATTTTTAACACGCGAACACCTTGTATTTTTACAAATGTGCGTAATATTGGAATGCTTCTAATGGAAAAGAATTGGAAAAAAGGATCTTTCAAAATTAATCTGACTTTATCGCCTCAATGTTTGTAGAATGTTGTTTCCCCCTTAACATTTAGACTTTCATTTCTTTAGGAGCGAGGAGAGATTTCTAAAAATGCATGTGTCGTGATTAAAGGGCCACATAAAATATCACCCAACCCAACCCTTGTTAATTTGACAGAGACGAGTACCTCTTCGCTGGTTGGCCATCGAATCGTTAAGGCACCAACTGTACACCTCACAGAGTGACGTGTAAGTTCTTTTGAACGCTGTTGTGTTATCTAATTCAGGTTGCCATATAAGCTACACGATAACACACGCTTACAGACCAACACAAAAATACATCCAATATAATCCTAAATCAAAGCAGTCTTGATCAGTGATCAGAAGTAAGCACGAATTTACAACTTCAACCCATTTCAGGGATACACTATTTTGCCTGTGACGTCACAGCAAGAATGAGGTATTATTTTCGAGGGCGGAGACAAGAGAAAGGCATTTTGGCCCTCTTTGCTGTGAATTTTAAACATTCAAAATGTTTATTCCGTGTGTATTTCTCACGCATTCGAACCGCCTTGTGTATACTATTTTCTTTCATTTTTCAGTTACTGTGAGTGTTTCTGGGCGGATTTTTTGCTGCTGATTTATGCAAAATAAGATTTAAGTGTGACTGCAACGAGGGATATTTTTGTATTTCTTTCCATAAGGCACAACAAATCAAATTGCTCTATGTTAACTGAAGACATTTCTCAATGTGTGTTTTGAAGGTGGTCGTTCGGAATCCTCCTTTGGGAAATAGCAACATTTGGTGAGCACAAACCAGGAACCTTTTTTTGTTCACGTCTGTTCTGGAATGTGTCAGAGTTTTGTAAACTACATGTAATTTAGTGTCCTAGAGGCCGTTGGAATGGGACATTTGGATTCTAAAGTCTTATTAACTGGCCAAAAAGAGATCACATTTGAATAGAACCTCCATTTCGTATAGTACTCTCAGCAAAGCATCCGACCAGCGTCTAAACGACGCAATCACGGGCCTGTCTTTTTCACATGGACGTGAATTTCGATCCTAATGGGATCACAATCCTGAAAGGCCACCATCCATATGCGGGTTTCGATGTCCGTAAAGCAACGACGGATCTGTCGATCCAGACCAGTGTAAAATAAACGCGGCCGTTGCATGTGGTCATGATCCTGTCGGGATGCGCATGAATGCGTTCATAGTTTCGGCTCAAGACGTCGCTGCTTGATATTTACATGGCCATACAATTCAGTCGCAGTAATCACTCAAAACTATTGTTTGGAATACCAGAGCCTTCTCTGTATGAACGACGATAGGCCTATATGTTGATCATTCTGATCACAATTCTTCCACTTTCATATAATTATGAAGGAACAGTTTCCAATGTCGTGCAACTATCAGAATTATTACTTTAATTGCAAGTATGCACACAAAAATTAATTTACTGCTTCATTCCAAAATTCAACAACAGCCATGATGCTGTCCCTTCCCCGTTCCCTCTGCTCTGAAATCAATCATAATTTGTTGAATAATAGGCCTACTCACAGGAGAATTCTCACTTTCTTGTCAAGGTGGGTCTCCGTACCCGTCCATTCCGAACGACTCGCTGGCAGAGACAATCAAACGAGGATACCGCATGCCCCAGCCAGACAACTGTCATGACCACATGTGAGTATTTATTTACATTCAGAGCACAGTAAAAAAAATTATAGATATTACATGAACCAACATGTTTCCATCGTGAGGCTTTGAAGCATTTTGGTCATCTCACTGAGGGCGCTACGCAGCCTATATACGAAGGTTGGCGTCCGAATCCGTCGTCTAGAGCCAGGTCTAGCTCTTTGCATCTTTCTGTAAGCGCGTTTTGTACACAACCTACTTACTTGTGTGCAGTAAGATTGATGGGGTGAATAAAATATTAGACAGATCTTTACTAATCCTCCTCGCAAGACGGGGAGCAAATAATCTTGTCGGTGGATGACGAGTTCATTTGCCTGTTCTAGTTGGAAATTTTGTCGTGATGACAAGTTGTGTTGTATAGGAGGAAATCGCTCAGGGACTCGGGGCTCCAAATTCTGAGGAATGTGGATGAAATCGGGTCCGAAAGTGGCACTATTTAGCCGTTTTGCAGAGAAGTGCATTTTCAAAACGGCTACTTCATTTTCGGCTAGGGGTGGTCTGCTTTGTGTGAAATTTTCTCCAAAATTCATCAGCCAACCCACTAAAAATTGAAAGGAAAATTGAAGAGGACACAAATATTTGACAAGTATATGGGGATTTATCACCGCAGCTGTCTATCGGAATTTATATGCTGCGGTGCACCCTACAGTTCTTATAATATGTAACTTTACGTACCAGGCACAGACTAAATTTCTCTCTGTCTTGTTTCCTCCTTCTTGTGTGTAGTTATGCACTGATGCGCGAGTGTTGGGACGAGGAACCAGACAACAGACCGACCTTTACTGAGTTGGTTTATATCCTCAGTGACATGGCTGACAGTCGGATTAAGCACGTGAGTTCGAGGATAACCAAACTTGAACGCTGCCTTTTCGCAGCGCGGTTTGGGCAAACTCGCCCAAACGTCTTCCGACGTCACTTGCTGGAAAAATATTCTCCTGTTGGCTAAGATCTCCAGATAATTTTCTCGGACCGGAATGCACTTAACGATTTGATAGTTGACCAAACGAACACGGTATTTATTCTGATGCAAAAGAACATTTTCCTTTGTCTTTTCTACAGACTTATATGGCAGTCATCCGCAATGACTATGAGAATGCGCGTGTCTTCCGGCCCGAACTGGATGACAGCTGATGAGGTTCGCTGGACTCGGTGTTGCTTTCCGCGTAAACGTACAAAAATTACCATTTATCGTATGGTAAAATTTGTTGTTATTATTATGAGGATTATCTGTTTAAAGAAAATAACCAACAGCCATTTTGAATTGTCATAAGCCCAAATGCGTTACATGCATAGTAAATTAGGCACCTCGTTTATCTAATGAGAGAAAGGGGGTATTAAGATAGCGTTATAATCAGACGAATCTTGTACATTTATGTCTTTTATGTACATAAAGTCCCTTTTGAAAGGGAAATTCTCACTTTCAATGTTAATTTTTCCTTCAAAGATTACGCTTATGTACCCATTGTTGCTCTAAGCCTACCATACTTGTCTTACTTATGTAACCTGCTTCAGTAAACTGTTAGTTTTACTCAGAGATGTAACCAAGTCATTTTTACAAAGTCAAGTCAAGCCCCAAGTCAAATTTTAGCAAGTCAAGTCTCAAGTCATTTTTCTCCATGCCGAGTCAAGTCTCCAGTTAATTTTTTTTCAAGTCAAATCAAGTCTTAAGTCCGAAAAATAGCGACTCGAGTCCGACTCGAGTTCGAGTCAACGACTGGAGTCAACAACACTGGTTTTACTTTTGAACGTGCACAGAGCAAATTCGTGCTAGTTTGTTGGCTGTTTCAATTAAAAGAAATGAGTCCAAAACTGTTCGAAGTCTCACCCACTTAAATCTGTTCCCAACCCTAAAGGGTTGTCTTGGAATCACTTCAGACTTTGGCAAAAATTAAATCCCACTGTGAGACAATCTCGATTAAAGAACGAAATTTCGTAACAACTTTGTCTACTGCGATGACTGACTGCACATTTGTGATTGAATACACAACGATTTACCTTAGTGTTATGAGCCACATATAGAAAGCATTTAAAAGTGCTTGGAACGCACGGCAATTATAAAACAATCTGCATGGGGCCATCCTAATCGATAAACTTGCAATCTGTAAAACAAATTCTGAGGATAAAACTTTTGAAATGGCTCCCACGTCAATAAGGTCTATTCACACACCAGACAAAAATGCGAGCAGACATGAAACAGTCATATTTGAGTTGGGGTGTACCCTAAACTCCCCGTGAAGATAGTTTTGTAATAAGGGTTAATTATTAATTATACCCTTCTGCGAACTGGACATTGATGTCGATATAGAAGATGAGTATCCTTGTAATCAGGTGTAGTTCTTGAGACCCATTGTCAGGAGGACAAGGCAGGAATGACACGAGTATCCTGAGCTACGGTTGGAAGTGAATGTGGGGAATATGGCCTTTTAGACAGTGTCGGGGTTACACAGAGAGGCAGTATATACTTCCAATTCGAGGTACTGGAATTGAGTCTAATATCAGAGGTAAGCACTCAGCACATTTAGCGGGGAGAATCCATTTGGTGTTTGTGGTGAGTTGTTGTCTATCATGGCGGAAAGTGAACAACTCCTTGATCGCAAAGAACCTACGTCATGTAACAACGAATGGTTCAGTGCGCAAACTTTGGAGCCCTTCATCAAAAAAGTGAATGAATGGGACATCATCGAGTTTAGCAATCAACATGGCGAGGATTTCGGCAATTGGGGACTCGTTATCTCTAAATCGCAAAACGACTGCCTAATTTTCTGCCTCGCCCGCAGTGATGAGCTTCATGTGAACTCTCTCCAGGAACTGATTACTGGCCGCTTTGTAAGAATCAATAATGAAAAGATCTGCATTCAGCTCTCCCCCGATGAAGATGAAGATGCAATGTCGGATTTTGCCGAACATGTTTTGCTCAAAGCCGTCTCGCTAGTTCTAAGCAATAGGTCTCTGAAGAATCTTAAAAAAATCGTGGAGGACATTATGGAAGGTGCTTTAGACGCGCTAGCTCAACAGACTACGCAGTGGTTGGAGAAGGAATTACTGCAGAGTTTGAAACAAGCGCTAAAGCCAGGAAAGGATCCAAACATCGAGGAGGGATGTTTACAGCAGGTTATTTTGCAAGTACTAGTGGCTAAGGGCGCTGATGAGGAGGAATTACAGCTGACTGCTCTACCCGTAGTTTTGGCTGCAGACATGAAGACGGAATTTCAGTTAATGGAGGAAGAGGTTTTTGGAGAGACTATCAACATTGTGCAGCTTTTTATAGGTCAGTATACCCAACGTTAATGCAACTATATAGTCGTTTTCAGGTCTCCTTCGCAATTAGGTGTTTCTGTCATAATGTAACGCATTATGGTCCGCACGTTCTCATCTGTAGAAATAAAAAACAAATTAGAGAAACAACAGAAACTGTAGGAAATATGACAGCAACAGTCATTATCAACCCCCGCCTATTTCGTAGGCGAATGGCGCTTCCAAATGATGCTGGGAAATTGGGAAGGGCACATTACTCTGCCATAAAAATCTTGCTTTGTTTCCATGAAAACTGACATTTTAAGGCAATTTGGGAATAAATTCGGGAGCGTAACCAAAGGTTTACATACACTTGAACAGAATGCTTCGCCTGTTTTTCGTGATCATTCCCTTCTCTTTAATTGACCATTCTCCGTTTTCACCTTGGGTGACTTTATTCAAAATTATTTTTAGTAATGGCGGGTTACAGATTTACATACATCGAAGCTGCCTACCTGCATGACGACTGGCTTAGGAATGATCTAAAATGTGTTATACCCCCACTTCCTGCAGATTATCAATGTTGATAAGTCATGTGGTATCTGACTTCCTACATGGCTGTTTTAAAGGCCAAGCTTTGCTATCTGGGTCCCATTTCTGACACGACTTAGAGGCTGAAAGGCACGAAAGGAGCGCTTTACGGGGTGAATAATATAGTCTTTGTGCAAGAGGTACTTTGTGCTGCTGTGTAAATTAATATTGTAGATCTCGATTCATAAACCTCTGTAGCGATTAACTGATAGAGGAGTAGTATAAAACTGAGAGTTCTGGAGCACACACCCCTTTTTGCCCGGTTTTTGCTCAAAAGCATTGGGTACCTATACGACCCAAAAAAAGTCGAAACATTTTTGGTGGAGAAAAATGGGGAAAAATGGAGAAATCCTGGAATTGTCGTGAACCCCAGTTTTTGATCAAAACCCTTGGGTAGTACATCGACCCAAAAATCTCGGGGATTTCTGCTCAACTTTTGACCCCGGCGCCGCTCGTTCTCACTGCGTTCGTAGCTCGCTCGTTCCACTCGCTCGCTCGCTCGCTGGCTAAACAACCCGTGACTAGCGCCGGGGATTTCCACTCACCTTTTGACCCCGGCTGGCTAAACAACTCGTGACTGGCACCGACCTGCACAAACAAAAAAGGGATTTCCTCTTGCTTTTCCGGTCTGAACTAGTGACCTTGGCTCTGTTCAAAGCAAAACAAACCGCCTTAAATAAATGACCTATATATAAAAAACATGTCAAGTTAAGTCGATAGAAAAATGATAAAAATTTTAGAAACCTATATATGAATAGAGACATGAGCAACCTTCTACACAGGCCAATACTAAAATATTTTACTCGATTTAAGAAGGCGTTTTTAGAAGATTTTGTCAAACGGTATAACATCCCATTACTTGCACCTAAAAATAAAC